CAAATTGATGTCCTTCTTGATCTTCGTGGAGGGAAATCAACGATAGTGGGTCATGCCCCCTGACTGCCGATTGGTGTTCACGGATCCTTGTTGACAGTTTTCTCCCAGTTTGTCTGATATAGTGTTTTGAACAGTTCTTGCAGTTTATTTTGTAGATGACGCTGCTCTTGTCCTTCTCCATTGTTCTCTCCTTGGGTTTTGACAGAAGTCCCCTTAGACAGGCGATCGGCTTGTGGGCCACTTGGATTCCATACGATCTGAGCAGTCTTGCTGTCATTTCCGAAACGTCCTTGATGTACGGCAGGGTCGTTCTTGTTCCCGATTCTCCGTCTGTTGTTTCCTTCTTTCTTTGAGCCAGAGTTCTTTTGATAAAGTTGCGGGGGTAGCCATTGCGGGCAAACACTTTGAGGAAGTATCTTTCTTCTTTCTTCTTGAGTATGTCGGTGCTGCAATGCGTTTGGATTCTTCCGAACAGGGTTTTAACGCAGCATCTTTTGTGGCTGTGTGGGTGATTACTTTTGAAGTTTAGGATTTGATCTGTATGTGTTACCTTGCAATAGACCACTGTTTCCAGTTTTCCTGATGGCGTTCTGATGATCAAGATATCCAAAAAACGCCAGTTGTTTATCCTTCTCGGTCTCCATTGTGAACTTAATGCCGTTGAATGTGTTATTGATAATGTTGTACGTTCGTTCTAGTTCCGACTTCTTCAAGATAACGAATGTGTTATCAACGTATCTAAGCCAAAGTTTTGGCATGATTCTTGATAGTACCTTCTTCTCCAGCTTCTGCATTACGACTTCGGCTATGAATCCAGAAATTGGCGATCCCATTGATGTTCCTTTCAGCTGGAATTTTTAGTACGTCTGCATGCATAGTTCCATGAGTTCGCAAATGGCAGCTGGTTCCGTAGGTGGATTTGTTGGGTGCTGAGTCATCAGTTCCCGCAACGCGGATCTTGCCAGGTCCAAGTCAATTGAAGTGAACAAAGCGGTGACGTCGAACGAGACCATTATTTCGTCTTCTTGGATGTTGACAGTTTTGAGCTTGTCCAGGAGCTGTCTTGAGTTCATGACGCTATACTCGAGGCCAGCGATGAGTGCTTCAGTCGGTTCCATAATTCTTTTACCAAATTGTATGTCGCTGTTCTTGGAAGGGAGACGATCGGCCTCAGGGGAATTCCTTCCTTGTGTATCTTCGGCAGTCCGTAGAATTGTGCGATAACGGAGTTTTTGGCTCTCATCCTCCAGTACTCCGCTTTGGTTATTTGGTGCAGTTTTTCCAGTCGTTTCAATGTGGTATTGATTTTATTTTCCAGTTTTGCGGTGGGGTCTGTGTCAATTCTGCGGTAGGTGTCTGTGTCTTGGAGTAGTTGTCTGGCCTTTTGAATGTAGTCAGTTTTGTCCATAACCACGGTAATTCGTCCTTTATCTGCTGGTAGGATGACGATACTTCTGTCCATCTTCAGTGTTTTGAGTGCTTCGTCCTCGCGAATGCCTTTCGCCTCAGCGGTGGCTAGTGTGTATAAGCGCACTGCTTTAGAGGGGTTGGAGGGCACACGATAGATTACGCTGCGAGCGGATTCTGGTCTAATTTGGAGGCCTGTTTCCACTAGATGACCAAGAATGGTTCTTCTTATGCTTCCTGTTTCTCCTCGTTTTACCAGCGTGGGCAGTGTTCCTTCATCCGTTGGTATACTTGCCTCGCCGTGCGGCCAATGTACGTCGCATTACAAACCGGAAACTCAAAGAAACTTTCGGGATAACCATTTTCTTTGAGAACGTCTTTAGTTTTTGTTAGTTCTTCATTTATCACATTGGCAGAGCAGATCTTGCCAGATTGTAATGTGAGACTCTGAATTAGATTTATCTTCTCTCCGAGTGGGATAAAGCTGTAAAAGTGTGTATATTGTCCCATCCAAGTTGGTTTTCTATGTATTCGACGCTCCAAAGAACCATGATCTTTTCGGCGGAGTGCCACATCTAGGAAGGCCAACTGTTCATTTACTTCGGTTTCCAACGTAAACTGAATTGATTCGTGAGCTTCGTTGAATCTCTGGAGCAATCTTGTTGTGTTTCTATCTTTCTGTGTGAGACAGAATATGTCGCCCAAGTAGCGGCAGTATAGACTGATTTACGCTATTTCTCGCTTCAACGTTTTACTTTGTAATTTGGTCATAAATATGTCTGCTAACAGTGAGCGTAATGGGGAACCCATGGCCACTCCGTATGTTGGACGGTACAGGTTTCCATCAACATAAATTGAACATTGTATGTACATCTCAGTAATATTTCCTCGGGGATCTCCGTTGGTACTCCTGTGTATTTGTTCAGTTTCCATGTGACGACAGTGGAAATCGATGGTTTCTAATAGTGGTACGTTTGTGAACAGGAACGTTGCATCGAGGGAAACAATTTGATCATTCTTTAGGTTCCACTTGCTGATGATGTTCACAAATTGAAATTTATCTCGTAAGCTGTGTTTTGCGAGCTTAGAGCGCACGGTTCAGGAATTTCTACGAGCTAATTGGCAGTCTGGTGGTAAAGTGAGTTGACCATCGATAGAATTGGTCTTATTGGTACCTTGGGTAACCCGTAAAGGTGTGGAATGGTTGACCAGACGGCTTTATTGCGTCGAACACGAATTGGTCTATATACCCTTGGTCCTTTAAGGATTTGAGACTATTCACGATTTGTTTCTCAATATGTGCCGCTTCATCTTTCTCTTGAGGCCCGCTGTCAAATTTCTTCTTATCAGACAGTAGTTCGGACATCTTCTTCATGTAATCACATCTATTCAACAGAACAACTCCTGATCCTTTATCTGGTCTGCTTATTATAATGTCTTTACGTTGCTGGACCTCTTTAATCACCTCCAGATGTTTCCTTGTTAGTGGCCCTCGGGTATTGTGTGTGTGCTTGCGATATTGGTAGCAACAGTCAACCAGTGTGGCTTTGAAACTCTCTAGCTCATTCGAGGGGTTAGGTACTAAGTTATGTTTGTGGGAAGAGGTTTTCAAACTGGAATTCAGCTTCCAACTGGCTTATCTTCCGACGAGGGTTACGTCATACAGTTGCCATATTTTGTTAGTCAAATATTTCATTTTCCCTGAGTTCAAAAATAAAATCAAGACCGTAATTATTGATATAATTGTTGTATTCTTGAATCTGGTAATANAAAGATACCGGGCTGACAACCATTCTGTTATTTCATAATTACACATAAACATACACTGTATCAAATTTCCCCATTGTAGCTACCGATGTGATAGAATTCATTTGCATAAAGGTGCATCACAATATGCTTCGCGATCCCCATTAGAAATTAGCGTGGTGATCCAATGCAACGAGATAATCAGACAGGGAGCTACGCCCTACAGTTTCAGGTTGAACATTAAGAAGCTAGTATTTTAGACCAACCGGAATCACCGCGGCTAATTGTGGAGTGCGATAACTCAAGGAAAATGGGACGCTGATTGACTAATACATTTTGAACAAACAATCGTCTCTTCCGTACGTATTACTTGATTTGTCCGATTTTTCCGATAAGATAAAGTAATGGTGATACAGTCAAAATGGGAGAACGAAATTTTATCAAAAAGCATAGCTGGGGCGAACTCCTCTCGTGTATAATCAATAAAATCTCCGCCGAATGTACGCCTAGTTAGAAGTAGCTNTTTAGCGGATTGAGACTGTTCAGATCTTTGCCCGTTTCCTTCGCCAGATACACAGAAAATTCAATTAGAATAGGATCGTGAACTGCGATCGAGCCTCCCCATTTGACCCAATTTTGGTGGATTAAAATGAAAATTAAACCATAACTGAATTTTCCACTCATTGGCGCGTTTCTGATCTGGTAAATTAATCGACAGTGCGAAAGCTAGACGGCTCATCGGTGATTTGTTCTTAATTCTGATAAAGACGTTTGCAAAAAATAGGTCTCATGACTGAGGGAGAATTGTGATTAAGAGAGTCGGACGACAAATGCCACCTTACAAGATGATCTACTCTGAACCAAAATTCATTGGTATCGGATGAATGCTATTTTTGTGTCTGTATTGTGTTTCTTTAATTTATGATCATGTTTGTATGTGATAGATGGAAGAATATTGATTAAACTCTGATTAATCGGTTCATACACTGAGACTGAATGTTGATTCAACTCTCCATTGCATGCAAAGCATAATAAGCTTGTTTGGCCGCCATCAATTCGCTCGCAGTTCCCTTTTCACGTAGACGACCTTTCTCGAGGACAACGATCTGGTCCGAGCGTTCGACCGTTGTTAGTCGATGCGCAATCATCAAACATGTGCGTTGACCCATCGCTTTATCCAACGCGGCCTGAACCACGCGTTCACTCTCGTTGTCCAACGCGGAAGTGGCCTCATCCAACAGAAGCAGTTGAGGTTTTCGGATCAAAGCTCTGGCAATGGCCACACGTTGCTTCTGACCACCGGATAGTTGTGAGCCTCGTTCTCCAACAGACGTATCGTATCCCTGAAAAAGGAAAATGCTGGTCAGCTTTGGACTGAAGATAGAAAGTGCAGTGTCTAACTTCAAACTGCCGATTAGACCAAAACAGCTTAGTGCAAACATATGCAGCCGTATAGTTTTCACGATACTAAATATCTTTCATGTGAAGATTAGTTATTGATAAATTGGTCAACTCTATGTAACTGATATTCTTTTAAATTGATGGACACAAGGGAAAATGTTCAGTACGCAGTCCCGGTCCTTCGCAAAAAAATTGCTCAAGAACTTGGTACAAAAGCTGACTGGTACAATATTTGTAGAATATTTATAGCGTTCGTAACGGACAAATAGGCAAAGGTCTAACAATACCACGCAGAGAAATCAGAAGATTAATAGCTTGAGATGTTTATTATGCATATGGCGTTACGATGCGTACAAACCCAGATCCTGTCCGTCAAATCATGACTCCCAGAACAAATTAAGCTGTTTTATTATGATTTACGTGAAAATGAGCAAGTGATTCGAAACGTGACAAAATGTGACAAGATGGGTTTCACCTTATTTTTGAACTTCTTTGTTTCACCTGGGACGTGAACAACAATGACAAAAATACGCAAACAAACCAAAATGTTTTTAGGGTGATGAGTTTTATGAAATATCAGCTGATAAGCACCGTGCTTTTTTTATGACAAGCGGGAGTCACGTATTTCGTTCTTCATATCATCAGTGGCCTGAGGGGATTGTGTTGAAAGCATCCCTGGACTACACACAATGAAGTGAGGTTGGGAATAACGTCACGCAGATGTTCAAAACAATACGGAAAACTCTTTTCAGAAACACTAGTAAACTGTTTTCAGTAGTAAACCGATTTATGCTCTTTTCGAGTTCATCTGTTCGCCGAGGTTGACGATCTGTTTGGAAGCTCATCATCATCAGCCGAGGTTACAACTTCATTGCTTGTGGAATAGTGATGTTCTCCTTCTGTTGGTTCACTTAGATTTTTTCTTTAGCCCCAAAATGCCTACCTCCAGCAGATTCTCTCGAAAACCAAGTAGAAAACAGTGGTGAAAGAATAGAGCAGAGCTAACACAGAGCAAACTGCGAGGACTCTCCGAAGCACTAAAGTGGTTACACTGAAGCACTAATTTCTACAAGAACTTTTGAGTATCGATCGGAAGTAAGGCAGCATGTCAATTGTTAATTTATTTTACCCCATGACGATCAGGAAAGATTAATTTAGGTAAGTAAAAATCATTAACTGATCCCGCTTAAACTAATTCAGAGAATTTCTCAAGGTTAACATACTTTTATTAGCTAAGTGAAAAAACATCGAACTGGATCACGTATATCTGTCGGTGCACTTCATAGACCAAATAACGCAACAAAAGACTGTTCACTTCGTGACCCTGGAAGGGGATCCAAATACAGATGAGAAGCATCTCTTCTTCGTGCCATTTCAAACAAGAACTGGATTGTGAACGATGGCAACTAATGACCGAAAACGGCCATGGAAAAGCCTGTATAAAGCCACGGAAACACAGAGAACACCGTCCTTCCCCAAGCACAGAGGATGTTATCTATTCCTGTGATGAAACTTTTGTGAACAGATTACCAAGCCTAATGAGGCAGGTGAAAATAAATTCGGTTAACCTGAGTTATGAAGGCCAGGTTTCATCAGTTTGTCAGATGGATACTCTGTAAAATGGAACTCAGTGCCCTGATATATTTTCTATTCTTTTCTAGTCAGAGAATGGAAGCAGATGTTTAGCAACAGTCAGCAAAAGCTCCTTTAGATGCCTTCAACCAATAGAGGCATAATTCAAGGATCGATTCAGAGGGCAATCTGTTTCCTGTGCTACAGCTATGAAAGCAGTTTATTCCACTCAATGGGTAAAACTAAAATCCAAAAGCAGATGAAAACTAATATGCATTGCTTGGTAATTGTGATAATTGAGTGAGGAAACCTAAACCCAAAATTATAAAGCACTCAGCTATTCTGGACATTCAGTTTTATAAGAGAGTAAATCTTTTCCCTTATACTGTCATCAACTATTTTAGTTTATATAATTATATATATATTATTTATTATATAATGTCAGACCGTCTGATGGGTTAGCTCACCTCAGGCAACGTCATGATGAAATCGTGAATGTTAGCTTGTTTCGCGGCTTCAATAATTTCTTCCATGGACGGTTCACGAGAGTTCACGCCGAAAGCAATATTATCACGAATAGAAATGTTGAACAGATTCGGTTCTTGTGAAACCAATCCGATTTGTTGCCGAATCCACGATGGGGAGAGATCAATCGTGTTGTGTCCATTCAGATAAATACCACCGGAACCGTCGTAAGCGTTTGTGGGATCGTAGAAACGAAGTATCAGTTGCAAAACGGTTGATTTGCCGCAACCAGATTGTCCGACCAATGCGTGGGTTTGATTTGCTTCCACCGCATGGGTGAAACCCTAAACCGATGTGCATGTGCGATGATCATTGAAGATAGGAAATTTTAATTCATATTTTTTGAAAAGAGTGCACAGAACCTCCAGGGAAATAAATATCGTGGTAGATAAAATTGATCACGTATGAGGCGGCTCATTATTATACAAACTATTTGCAGTATTTATTTAGATTGATCAATGGAAAAGCGCAGTTTAAGTCAGTGATGACAGAGTCCGTAGCCTAGTATGAATAACTCAAAATGATCAGATAGACCACAGTGTTATCGTGTCAAAGAATAAGGAGTTTGCTGTTATTTTCAACCCTTCCATGGAAACACTACTCAGAACTCCATGTCGTAATCTTAACCGGCCATAATGACACCGCATTTAGCCCCATCTCTTCACGAGGTATATACACACAATTATATTTAGAGAGAACTGAGACGAATAACCAGCTACATATTTATGGAAACACCCAGTAAAATGTAATTTTGATTGTTCGTTGAGTACAACTAAAATAAAATAAAACTTACACGTAGAATTGGTACGTGAATCCGAGTCGGATAACGGAACTTGACATTTTTCATCACTACCCTACCATCGTATTTCTCGGTCGGTTCCATGCCCTCATATTTTGGAATCAAAGACACTCGGTCCAGAACTCGGAGAATGCGTTTTGATGCATCGACAGCACGCTTCATATCAGGAATAAAAGCAACAACACGTCCGGAAGAGGACAAACTAAACGTGATCGCCGAGAATGCTCTGAGAGGAGTTAAGAAGCGAAGGGGTTGGTGAAAACAAATTAAGAAAGATGGCCAAAATCACTTGAAAGAGAGCGTCAGTAGACACTTCTATCGAACGGCATTCTTAATAACTAGTGATATAACAAAGTAACGGAAAAAGCGCAGCTGTTAAAAAACCCATCTTAACGCAGATTTTGCGGACACTTAACATCAATGTAGCACGTAGCACGGATTGGGGTCATAGATCATGAAATGTCGATCGTTTTACATTGGTCGACCTTATGTACACTCACTGCTCTTGGTTTTACTTGACCTGGTCGAAGGATGTTCTGTAGTCTGAAGCAAAAGCTATTCCACAATCTTGCAGTAACGAAATTTCGTGTCTGTACTGCAAGATCCGCAGCCACCATAACGGCTTTTTATTGTGAATGAAATGTACAGGAGAAACCAGAATCACGATAACTCTTATTCGGTTTGCTGAATTCACAACAACTGCTAACGCATGGAACGGGAAAGAAAAGTTTTCCAGTAGGATGTGGACAGTCATTTTGGGCACAGCAACAACTAGCTGTTGATACAACAGGCATGCAAAACAAACGGGATAGGATGTGGCCAAGTCTGAGGTTCTTCCGTCCTTGCGTCCATGTGCAGCGAATTTGTTTACGCACAGCGCATCACTTAGAATAGCTGACTGTGGCTGGGAGAATGGTTTACAATGCTCAGTTTTAGACAGCCGGAGCGTCAGTTGTGCAAGCTGCTAGCTGCAAAGGCTCGTCGTAGAACGGCGCAAAAACGGACTGGGATGTCTTTAATTGATACTGGAGTAGAACAAATTAACATAATGTATGAATAATGTGATCAGGACTGTGACGGAGGTTAATTGGTCTACGCATACTCTATCACAGCTCACGTAAGGGTTTGAATTACAAAAAGAAAGAAGTAACAATATGGGACAAAGAGCACGCAATCGTGTGTGCAATGTCCACGGCGAGTCTTACCGGAACACATGAATTGCAGTGGCCATACTGCGTTCAATCAGATACGCACCCAAGGGGAAGGCCGTGGAGTAGGCAAAGAAGTTGACCGATCGGGAGAATGCGTGCATCAAGCTGAATATTAGAGCCTTTTTCATCGCTTTTCTAAAAGTCACATTCAAGTCATAGAAACAAAAGTGAACCGGTAGTTATAATTTGATTTATTATTATATAGATATTAATGAATCAATCATATATCTATAAAACATAGTAGTGTTCAAAACAGTTTCAATTCATTTGTGCCACTCAGTCTGGCGAGTGAATTCATTCAATCTACGAGAACTGTCCAATATGAAATACGAACCTTGGGGGTTGTTGAAGCAGAAGTCTGTAACTAGCACGCAACATTGGATAGCAACTCATCCGCAAGGGAGAGAATGACTAAATCCAATTCATGGGTGGCCTGTTTAAGCTGTGGGTCTCCTGCACTGACCAGCGTCTCAGTGCAATTCCCATTTGGGATTCAAGATGAAACAACGTTACCCGATGTTTGATGAGCATTCTGCATTTACCGCAAAACCGTTTGCATTTTAATGGTATTGGCTTCCACACTGCTGTAATCGATGTATCCTGAAATACATTAGCAAACTAGTACATTCAGGACAGGTTGCTTTTTCTTTTTATCTTTTCATGTCCTTTGACTGAATGCATGATTGCCAAAACAATTTTTGTTAGAGTGCACTGGATAACCAAGGGGAGGAAGTAAGACAGAAGCGGTGGAGTTTGAACACTCAACCTCCAGGACGGCAAGCTGGTGTCTCTTATTGCTTGATCAGCATCGCCATTGACCTCTGTCGTTATAATAAATCAATCTAATCGATGACTGTCTTCTGTGAGTTCAGGATTGCCAGCATTAAGGAGTCAGTTCATTACCGTGTTGATCCGAATGCATCATTCTGCGAATATGTTTTAACATCTGTTCAAAATAGGGACTTAGACATCCGTTCAACGGCACACTAATGACAAAAACTGTTGGGAATAGACTTTTGGTTTACCATAATAGGCATAACATACTTTTTGTCTTCTTCCAGTGTGCGCATAAACTTTTCTCCAAAATGTGCTTCTAAACTCAACGTGGTCACAGTGCGATTTGAAGTGAAACACTCCTGAGCGATCTGAGCCCGTTGGGTCTTTTTGCCTGTTGCGCTATTCTCGTCGAAAAATGCGCGGAACTTTCAGTACAAAAATGGAAAAGGAGAACCACAAGTCATTTTCGAATATTGGTGACTGAAAAGTGTTGGTACACACCTCATTGGAGAACGTCACCCTAAGAAACTCGAAAATGCAACTTCTCGACCTTGACAGCAGCTAATAAACCGCATAACTGTCCTATAGACATAAAAGAGAAGAAAATAATATCATTCATCATGATCCATTTATTTCTTCATAACCCTTTATTAATAAATAATAAGTTGACTAAGATACTACTTAGTGACCAGACTCAGTTTCAGCTATTCGTAATTATGCTTAAGTAAGACAATAAGTTAGTTTATGTTTAGCAGGCCAGGAAATGGCAAGTTGAACTCTGAATGGTTCAGATTTGAATCTGATAATACGTGTTTGTGTGTCTTGTAAATCGATCCTCGATTCAACGATTAAATACGTATTGACGAATAATTTGTCCCATTAAGTTGGAGTACGCAAAGGTCTTCTGAGTACATAGAGGATGGGAGTTGTAAATCCAACTGTTTAAAGAGTCGGTGCTGCCTGGTATCATGTCCCTAACTGGTATTTTCGCCCCCTGTAAACTTCATGACTGAGATAGAAGTCATTTATCCCCTTATCGAGTGATGTATTTCAGGTAAATTATCACTCGTAATTATCATAATTGTTTTGACGGCACTCACAGAGTACTCAATTTCTTAGGGAGGGTAAATCACTAAGACCTGTAGTGCATCTCAATGTGTCTTATGACGTCACGGTCTGCACAGCCGCATCTGTACTACGCATTAGGTGAAATGTAGCTCATAGCCTGGTAACTGAGTGAAGTTGACGGGTTCTGCTGGTCCCTGCAATTACGCTTTTCGTTGCAAGTCCAGAATCTCAACTCGCTTGCAAAGTCAGAAAGTTGAGGAGACAGGGCGGAATAAAGCTAGGTTACACGATTAATACCAAGGCAGATCTCACCGAATCTCAACTGGTACAAAAAGGCAGAAACTACGGTTTATATCGTTGAACAGTAGATCAGATTAAAGAAGAATGCAGCAGGGTCAAATCATTGCACTTTTACCACTGTCAAGGCTGTGACCGTGTGACTGACAGTGGTTACGCCCAAAAGAAGCGCAAATACAATGAAATTATTATGCCGGACTCGATTTCAAAAGATGTGTAAACAGCATAATGAAAAACAAAATTACTGGATTTTTTTATAAAACATGTTCATGTTTAGTAAGAGCGACCAAGGAAGATGTGTTTGAGGTATAAAAAGTTTACAGATGGAAACGTGTTATTACGTACTGCATTAACAAATTGCGTATCTACAGACATCTGTCCTAATTGTACATCTTTGCAGTCTGATATGCAATCATCTCATAAGCGGTGTCGTTCAAGCAAATGGTTTTGCATGACAACCAATTTGAACTGCCTAAGACAACACGCAGCACGGGCTCAGTGGTGAGCTATGTACGTTTTTCATGAGCCGTGAAAAGACACAAACATACAAACCCAACGCTGAGAAAAGTTCTCGTGAAAATGACGGGGAAAAACATTAATGGATTGTTTTTCCCGTCTGCCCTCAAATAACTTGCCTCTAAGAATCCACCGATTATCATGAACGGAACAAAGGCTAGCAGGAGCAGCGTGACTTGCCAACAGTCCACGAACCCGATCACGAATGCGGAGAGAATCAAAACCAAACCCTCGAGAATGATAGCGAGCTGAAATCCGGAAACTGTGCGAACCATAGACGCCTCAGTGGCCAGTCGAGTGGTGAGCACACCCGGTTGATTTTCCTGTCTATCGAACCAACCAATTTCCTATAGGTATGAATTAAAATCAGAAAACGTCGAAGTCAGTTGTCTTTGTCAATTCAATTGTTGCACTGAGGTTGTAGAACAACTGCGAAGCGAGCAGGTTAAATTGATGTAGATTTCACTGTAAGTCAACACAAATAATAAATTTCCACTGAAATCAAATTTAGTCAAACAAAAGAAAACCACTGCTTTTGGTTGGCAAATAAACTCAATATTAGCAAATTTGTTACACTCTTTGTTCACCATGGCACAAAATTTCCATCATAAATAACCTGTATGAAAATGGGTGTCAAAAAGCACGATGGACACATAAAACAGTGATCAACCTTATCCAGTTGACTGAATTCACACAGACAAAATAATCCCAATAGGTACTGATTGTGTGGCTGTAGCGGGGTAAAAAACTCGTAAGATAACAATAAGTTAACCATTGTCGATCGTGTATACGGTGAGGTTGAATGTCACCATGTCTTCACATAAACAAACTCGTTTTACACCGACAACAAATGCGTGTGACAATGCACGTTCTTGCCGGCTGGGAGTGCTGGAGGTTCACCCTCCTGCGCACTGAATGGCACTCAACACTTCGTGTTTTGCAAATCGGGCTGTTTTCAGTTTGAAACTGACAGACACTGACCCCACATCGCCTGGCATTTCTTTAGAAAAGGTAAGAAATCAACATTCACTATCTCATGTTTCACCCGTCACATCTAAAAAATGTCATTAGAATATAAGGAAAACAAAAGTTTCAGGCAGGCTAAATCGAGAGTCAAGCGCACGACTCCCTCAACAATATGATCCAGGAAGCTTTACGATCACACAGGACTACCGCTTTTTACCAGATACGATTACTTTCATTAGGGTATCTGAGTACCAACTGTATATTCAATACAAAGTAGCTTATCTTTATGGTATTCATATTATTCCTATTACTAAATATTTTAAACATTACTCACTTGTTGCAGCATCGAGCGGAACATCTTGTCCCTCAGCCGTCTAGTCAAACGCTCTCCGACAAAACCGAAGAAAATGCCCTAAAATCAATTTGAAAAAAACATGATAACTTAGAAGAACAAATTCACCCTCTGAGGACAATACCGTGGGGGATACTTCATTCGAGATAAGATATATTCGAAATTATTTGGGGGCTATTCAATGTAATCTGAAAAGAAAAGTGAGTGCGATTGCGAAATGTGCATACATTTAATGCGTAAATGAAGTCTGAATATGCGATCAATTCACCACTCGTATGCGTTTGAAAACTCGGATTTCAGAAATAACTCTTGAATATAAGCTAGAATTAGCACCCTATCACTTAAAAAATACGAATTTGTTTAAATAATCTTGTAGAACTGAACAGTTATAATGCCGTGGGCATAACCGCTTGGTGCACAAACGTGTAGGGATTCAATTCAACACCTTGTCATCTGCATTTTCAAATATTGACAACTTATTCTTGACCCCATGGCGGGAGCTTGTTTCTTAAACTCAGATAATTTTTGGTGGACACTAGCGATAAATCAATCGATAGATTACCGGTCACTACCAGATACTTTTCTGGCTTTCTATCTGGACCTGCTTCCGTTCGAATTATTTTAAATTGAGCATTGTTGCTAGCGTTATTTGCGTCAGTGAAGCCTGTTTTCTTCATCGCTGAAACTCCGTTTATCTTTTAACTCATTACCAAACACTCCACCCTTTACCTTCTACCGCAATTTGTCTGATCAGTTGGGTGTTACCACCATCTCCACGAATACATGAACCCTGTGGTCAAGCCGTCATGCAATCCACTTACTGCTACCGGGGCCCAAAAGCAGAATTTCATGTACTGGCCTATAAAACAACATCACATGTTGGGGTAGTATTCAACTTAAAAACAGCAAAGTTGCCCCCCCCCCAAGTGAATGCTTGGTGCACGCAGCAAGAATCTAACCTCGTACCTTGAGGGCAGAATCACATAAACCATAGCAGCTTCCACCACGCGAAGACCAACGACTCATCAATTCTTCTACACCTTTTCCCATCAAGCTTTAGCCAAAACCCGCAAACCTTTAGCCTCGACCCGCAATCCTTTAGCCAAAACCCGCAATCCTTTAGTCTTGACCTACATTCCTTTAGCCAAAACCCGCAAT